GAATCAGGGTGAAGTCTCTCTCAGGGAGGAGTGATAGGGAATGGCAAGGGACACACTGACAAAGGAGATTAATCAGAACTGACTTTGACAAGCACTGGCAATTGGACAATTAAAACAGACATGGAGGGGGGGAAGAAGAACGAACTGGGGATGAGGGTGGAGAAAACAGTACAACAATGGATGAATGAAAACCCAAAATCTCTGTAAATGGTAATTAAAACTAATAAAATTTAATAAAAAAAAGAGAGGAATACAAAATTATAGAATAAACTTGAAGGAGACTTGTGCATCTAATATGAAGAATTTGAATTAGAGTACAATAAAATGTTTTGGTTATTTTATTGTTGTACTTTGATGCTGTCAAGTCAGCTATGACCCATAGTGACTCTCTGAACAAATGATCAAAAACTTTGCTCTATCGTCAGCCATCCTCACATGGTCTGCAATGACTATTACCATTAAATCAATGAGTTCTCACAATCTCTGTCCTCACAATCTCTGCCATATTTGTACTGTCGATACCAAATCAATTGTTTCATAACATGGTGGTTTATACATTTTTGGCATTATTATTATTCTTGTTGATTTTAATGAAAGTTTACAGAGACTTTGGATTTCCATTCACTCATTGTTGCACTTTTCTCCCTATCCACCCCCGACCCCAGTTCACTCTTTTCTTTGAAAAGTAAAAGAAAATTTCTTGCACTGTTATTCAATCCCACCCCTCAAGTCCACTCCATTATGCAGCCTTCATTCTGGATGCCTGTCATGACGATCATACCTAATCACATCTCCCATTTAAACATTTTTTTCTCTCTCTCATCTGTTTCACTGTGGTATACATAATGTATCCCATCTTTCTCAGTCTTCCTCCAACCCCAATGTCAGTCCCATTTTACAATGGGACTTTGTACAATGACACTTTGCAGTATTTGTCCTTTTATGACTGAGATCTTTTACTCAGCATAATGTCCTCCAGGGTCACCCATTTTGTATAATATTTCATGAGTTCCTTGTTTTTGAATGCAGTGTAGTATTCCATTGTGTGACTATACCACAGCTTCTCTATCCATTTGTTTATTGATGGGCAGTTGGGTTGTTTCCAGCTCTTTGCTATTGTGAACAAAGTCTAGATAAACATGGATGTGCATATACCTGCTTGAGTGGCAGTTATGGTTTCTTTGGGGTGTATTTCCAGTAGTGGAATTGCTGGGTCAATTGGTATTTCTATTTCCAACTTTTTGAGAAAGCACTATACTGTCTGCCTTCCATAGTGGTTGCACCATTTTACATTCTCACCAACAGTGAATAAGGGTTCCAGTTTTCTCCACAACCTCACCAGCATTTGTTGTTTGCTGTTCTGTTAAATTTTTCTATTTTTATGGGGGTGAGTTGATATCTCATAGTTGTTTTGATCTGTATCTCTCTTAGAGCTAGGGATTTTGAACATTTCTTCATGTGTTTGTTTGCCATCTTAATGTCTTCTTTGGTGAAGTGCCTGTTCGTATCCTGTGACCATTTTTCAATTGGGCTGTTTGTCTTTATCTTGTTGTGGTGCTGGAGTATTTTAGAAATTCTAGCTCTAAGTCCCTTATCTGACATGTCATTACCAAATATTTTTTCCGATTCTGTTTTTTCCCTTTTTACCCTGTTAGAGAAGTTTTTGCATGTGCATAGGGATTTGATTCTTAGAATGTTCCATTCATCTATTTTATCCTCTCCTGGTTGGAGATTTTTCAGGATGCTTGGAAGACTGTTAATGTTGTGGATTAGGACATCTAGAGTTCTTCCAATCTTTTCTTTAGTGATGTTTATAGTCCTTGGTTTTAGTCCTGAATCCATGATCCACTTTGAATTGGTTTTGTCTATGGAGTGAGGTATGAATCTTGCTTGACTTTTCTGCAGATAGTTTTCCAATTTTGCCAACATCATTTGTTAAAAAGGCTGTCATGGACAGGAAGATTCAAAATTATGAAAATGACAAATCTACCAAGGCAATTTACATGTTCAATGTTATCTCAATACAAATACCAATCTCATTTTTCAATGAGATGAAAAAGACAATCTCCAGTTTCATTTGGAATGGAAAGAATCCCTAAATAAGCAAAAGCACTCCTTAAAAAGAGAAACAAGGTAGGAGGTATCTCACTCCCTGATTTCTAATCCTACTAAATTGTCATGATGAACAAGACAGCGTGGTATTGGTACAATGACAGACACATAGGTCAATGGAAAAGAATTGAGAATCCAGAAATCAGCCCATCTACCTCTCAACTAATTTTTGGCAAGGAGATGAAATCAATTAAGTGGTTTATACATTTAGAGCATTAAGATATAGTAGTAGTATATTGAAAATGTTAGAATAATTACAATTCAAATTCTGCTCAATTTTCAAGGTCCTATTAAAAGTCAGTGCAGTCTAATAAGTAGGCATTGGTACTATTGCTGTCTCTTGTCTTATTTATCTAAATTATACACTATACTATGCAATTTCATATATTGTTATTTGTTGTTGTTGTTATGTGCCGTCGAGTCACCTACGACTCATAGCGACCCTATGTACAACAGCCCTAAACTCTGCTGTGTCCTGTGCCAATCGCACCTTCTCTGACACTCCCATCCCAATTATCCCAGTCACTGAATCAATCCACCTCATAGAGAGCCTTCCTCTCCTGCGCTGTCCCTCCACCCTCCCAAGCATGATGAACCTCTCCAAGGACCGGTATCTCCTCACAACATGTCCAAAGTATGTTAGAAGGAGCCTCAGAATCCTTGCCTCCAAGAAACAACCCGGGTTAACCCTCTCCAGGACAAATCTGTTTGTTTTCCTAGCAGTCCATAGTATTCTCAATACTCTTCTCCAGCACCACAGCTCAAAGGCATCAATTCTCCTTCTATCCTCATTGGTCATTGTCTAACTCTCTGATGCATAACAAGTGATTGGGAAGACCAAAGCTTGTATCAGACGCACCTTAGTCTCCAGAGAGACACCATTGCTCTTCAGTACTTTGGAGAGGTCCCTAACAGCAGACTTTCCCATGGCAATGCGCCTTTTGATTTCCTGGCTGCTGGTGCCAAGACTGTTGACTATGGAGCCAAGCAAACTAAACTGTGTACAATCTCAATCTCTTCACCATCCATCCTGATGCTGCCAATTGGTCCAGTGGTGAGAATCTTTGTCTTCTTGACATTGAGCCTCAATCCATATTGTAGGCTGCAGTCCTTGACACTCTGCAGCAGGTGCTTCAGGTCCTCTTCAGTTTCAGCAAGCAGGGTTGTATCATCCGCGTAATGCAGGTTGTTGATAAATTGTCCACCAATCTTGACCCCACATTTCTCCTCATAGAGCCCAGCCTCCCGGATAGTCTGTTCTGCATGTAGGTTAAAAAGGTATGGAGCTAGGATGCATCCCTGGCGTACACCCTTCCCAATTTTGAACCATGCAGTGTTCCAATAAATATTTTTTTCCTAAAGATATTAACACTAGTTTGTTGGTATATCTACTTAAAAGTTAGAAATTCTTTAGGACAAGGAACAACAGTGTACTTTGATGAGTCTTAATAAAATTATTGATAACAATGTTAAATGTTGATTTCAAAGCATTAAAAATTAAGAAAGTTCCATAAATCAAAATGGATAAGACTGTTGTACTGACTTTTGAGCCAAATGTCCTTATTAAGAAATAAAACAAATTATATAATTATTTTAAGTTATAATATTTAACTATCCACAAAATTTTATTTTAAATATATATACATATACATACACAGATATGCACATAAATAAACACCTCCTCATAAAAAGAAAAGCCCATCATTTAGCATAAATAATTTTTATGCAAATTTCATTTTTAAAAAAAAATTTCATATTTTTCAATTGTGATAGTACGTATTAAAAATAGTTAAGAAGAGACAATCTTTGCTTTCTAAATTCTGAGATGTTGAGTGCATTTTCCCCTTAATACTAAATTTTCTGATCCTTATGGCTTATTAATTTGTGATTGTTTATCTACATAATGGTTGTAGAAATTAATATCTCCATAATTATTTATCAATGCTTAATAACTGAAATAAAGGTCATCCTCAAATAATACTGTATATAATATCTTTATATTCAGATACTGTATTATCTAAGTATTGAGAATTTACTATGCCTAAGTCCAGAACAACGTCACCTTTACTAGTTTACTTACAATAATGGTCTTCTTGAAAGCCGATTTGAACCTAACTGTGTGCTGTTAAATCGTCAGGCCATGGAAAGTGTGACTGTGGCAAGTGTAAATGTGATGAAGGATGGTCTGGGGAAGCTTGCCAGTACCCAACCAAGTGCAACCTGACCAAGAAGCAAAGTAACAAAATGTGCAAGAATTCTCAAGATGTCATCTGCTCTAATGCAGGTAAGAATTCACAGGAATAGGAAATATATGATTAGTCACCTCTAGAAAAAACTGTCTGTTTTTCAATTAAATGAGAACTCAATAATTCCAACCTTCCATTAATGAATATTTCAGTCTAACATTCCATAAAAGAATCCTAATTGACAGGGGGGGGAATGTAGAGCAGAATTTCAAGTTCTCAAGGGCTTTCTGGAGTCAGGAGAGTAGAAAAGCCTCAGAATCTACAATCATGAGGTAAACTATAAACCTTAAACCAAAAATACTACTCCTAAAGTCTTCTTAAAAATGCGTTAATACATTAGCTTAACTAGTTGAAAAGATCTGCTTTGAGCATTACGCTATCTGAAGAACCATGGGCAACTAGATACCAATAGCAATAAGAAAGACTAGACAGGAACCTCAGAGAGTAATGAATCTGTGTTAATGAGGGAGAAAAACATTCAGAAATGGAGGATGAGAATGATTACACAAGTGAAAATATATGATCAATGCCACTAAATTGTACGTGTGGAAACTGTTGAATCAGGGCATGATTTTCAGTGTGTGTTCTCATCAACATACATAAAATAAAATTTGGGGAAATTATACCCCCACAGGAAATTCTTAAGGGAAATGTTCAGATTTTGCTTTTTAATGGAAATGTGTAAATTTGGAGAAATGCTGAACTTCTGAGTGAAAGTGCTTTTGAAAATATTTTTAAGAAATGAAATTCAGATAACTCAATAGGAAGAAATGTCATCTTGCTGAGACAGAGACTTTTGATGCTCTCCAGCTGTTCCTGATGGATCCTTCACTTAGAATATTCACAGAAAACAACACCCAACAACCTTTTATGTAAATTGTAAAACATAATGAGTACTTCTAGAAAGGATTTATATAAACTGACTCAATTATTTTTTGTTACAGATCAAGGCATTTGTGCCTTAGCATTAAACAATGATTTCTTGGTTGCATTTTCAGAGTAGTTTCAGACTCACTGAGTATGGAGCTTGTTGAAGAGTATAGCAACATCATCATGTTTTATCTGGCCAAAATACGTGCATATCTCATAGATGTAAATTAAAACACTGACTAGAAATTTTTTTATAAAGTTGTTAAAATGGATTTCAAAAACATTCAAAGCCAAACAGCTTCAGTTTTGTTGTAAATGGTACTTAGTGTTAAAAAAAAATTGGTTACTTTTTTGACATTTGGGCACCAGAAGGCTCAAAATGAATTCTTCCTCAATCTTGCTTGAACATGAAAATTCCAAGGAGATTCATAAAATGCCAGTGCATGTTGCCTTCACCAGAGCTTCTGATTCCATCAATTTAGTCTGTGGCCTGGAGTCGGGTAAATCTTTCAATCACTGCAGGTGATTTGAATGTACAGCCAGGGTGGTGACCCGTTTCTCCAAATGCTGAATATAAGGACTTGATGACCAGATTGAAGATATATCCTTCTGAAATCTGTCTTATCGGCTGGCCCCTCTGTAATCAGAGTGAGGACCTTAATACCAAACCTTTGATCACAACCAATTGCTCCAAGTAGGTTAAGTTCGGCAAAGTGGTTTTGATTGAAATGGAAATCGGGGCTACCTTCAAAGAGATGAGTCTATTAACCAGAGTCATTGTGCAAATGGTTGGTAATTAGATAATTTTTCATGTTCACTGATAATTCACTGCCTTCTCTAGTTTTTTAATCTGTTCTTTTAGGAAAATTTCTTTACCTCAAGCTTATACCAGCAAAACTGAAAGAAAATATATATACACATACAACCTCTTCCATTTTAAAAAGTCAATACTTTCAAACAGCTTCCAGGAATAAGATATAAATTCTGTTTTGTTTTATTATATGCTAATATTCAGCTTTTGGAGTGATAGATGGATGGAAGAATAGATTAATGGAGGGATGGGCAAATGGAAGGGTTAATTTACAAATCAAATCTAGGCATTTATAAAAGGATAGCATATTGTAAACAAGTTTTCTTCTTTTTTCTACTAATTTACAAAATTCAAATACATTGTTTTGAAGAACAAATTCTTTCAATTTCCCTTATCCCTCATCCAACAGATTGTACAGCCTCATGATTAATCCACCCTCCTCCGGCATATCCTCATCCTTCTGCTTCCAGCCTCTCTCACCCCTCTTGAATCCTTATATTCATTCTATAATAATGGTTCTATACCATATTTATTCTCATGGGACTGAGTTAGTTCACTCAGCATAATGCTCTCCAGTTTTTCCCAAGTTAGATAATAATTTACAAAATTATTGCTCCTGTGTGCTGCATAGTATTCCATTGTGTGAATGTACCATAATTTCTCAATCCATTAATTTGTGGTTGAACATTTGGGTTGTTTCCATGTTCTTGCGATGGTGAATAATGCTGCTATGAACATTGGTGTACAAATCTCCATTTGTGTCTCAGTTCTCATTTTCTCAGGGTATATTCCAAGTAATGGAAACCTGGGTCATATGGAACTTCTATGCTCAGCTTTTTGAGGCAGCTCCAAACTGCCTTCCAGAATGGTCGTACCATTTTACAATCCCACCAACAGGGTAGAAGAGTTCCCTTTCTCACCACAAACAATAACTCAAGGTGGATCAGAGACCTAGGAGTAAAGTCCAAAACTATAACCTTCATAAGAGACAATCTGGGATTAAGCTTAGAAGTGCTAGACCAAGGTATAAAGAAACTGCCAACTACAACCAGAAATACACAATCTGAAGAGTATAAATTGATGCATGGGACCTTCGAAAGATTAAATCTGTGTGTGCATCAAAAAATTTTCCTAACAAGGTGAAAAGAAATCCTACAAACTGGGAACAAACATTTGGTAATACCGACTGATTACCCAATTACAAAATGGGCAAAAGACATGGAAAGAATTTAATGGAGGAAGATATTAGAACAGTAAACAGACACATCAAGAAGTGCTCAAAATCACTGGCAATAAGAGAGATGGTAATCAAAACCACAATGAGGTACCATCTCACTCCAGTAACAGTGGCAAACTTTAACAGGAAAGCAAGTAAAAACTATTTTTATAATGTTTTTTATATAACTCAGTTTATATAATTTCTTATACGTGGGATTGAGACAATTTCTAATATTTTAAGTTTACTACTGGTAATGCTACAGTAAAAGAGATTGTTAAATCTAAGAGTAAATTAATACTTATTGTCACATTTAATGTTTTCTTCTCTTTTATTTCCTTCTTGGCCAATGTCTTTCTCATCGTCTTTTGTTTAAATTTTCATTGCTAGAAAACTAATTCCAGACCACTTTAAAATTAGTATTTACCCATGAAGATTCTTGCTTATCTTTTTTCTCTTCTTATTTTTCCTCTTTTAATTATTACAATGTAGCCTTTTGGAAGCAGTTTGAAGAAGTAGAAGGAAAGGAAAATGTGGTGGGGGTGAGACTGAAAGGCTAATTGAGATGGAGCTGGAAACAAAAGGATTTTCAGAAACCAACACTTTATGGGGTAAGAAAGAGAAGGCACAGTGACCGAGTGAGGTGAGACTTAGACACCATTGAACAAGGGTGTAGGCTGGGGTTCAAGTTAAGGGAGTACTCTTAGAGACAGACGCTTGCTTATACTTAATAGTAGGAAAAGTCAGAGCTAAAAATGAGTGAAAGAAACTTAGAGTAAAGCAGAAGACCAATCCTAGAGTCTGACTTCACTGGCAACAAAGAGAGAAAAGCAGCATTACTCAGCATGAACACAGGAGTCTGGCACCTTCTCCTGGCCTCCCATATGCTGTATCTGGGAGGCTCAATTGTGAATTATACTTGATGGGTAAAACAGGAAGTCTCTGAGTTGTTGTTAAACTCCCCATACTAGCCAAGAATGGTTTGGATGTGTGGATGTGTTTAAGTCTGTCTGTGAGGGATGCCAGTGAAAGGTTGTAGAATTTAGAGATAGAGGTTTTTCCTCTCCATCTTTCCTAAAAATAGATATGACATACATAGCCAAAATGACATTATCATCCTCTTCTGGTATCGCAAGAGCTAACATATAATATCCTTAAATTTCTCTATCCTCTTCCTTCAAAAATAGCTTTCCCTCCAAATTCAAGACAGATTCTTAATTTTTCTATCATTGTTTCCTTGATGTTTTCTGTAACATTAAAAGCCTTGTTCTGTCTACACTTATCTGAATTCTATGCTCCTTAGAAGCAAGTATTGTATAATTTTTATCTCACATACTACGGCCAATTTGTTCAGGCTGGCTAGTCTTTAGAAAAAAGATAGCATGCTGGCAAAGATGGAAGATCAGGGAAAGAGAGAAAGACCTTCAACAAGAAGGATTGGCAGAGTGATTATAACAATGGGCTTGAGTATGCCAGAGATCATGTGGATGGCACAGGAGAGCACAATAGTCAAATCTGTCGTCCAAAATGTGCCTATGACTGTCAATAGGCTACAACAGCATTCATAGAATAAGTTCAAGTATTCATTCTTTTATGACTTTCCTCTTACAGAGAGTGAGTCTGAGTTTTATGTTTTCTATTATGTTTTTATCAAAAATATATAATGAGAAATATCTTTGTGTGTATATGTCATGAATATATACTATATTCATTTGAATGTATATATTTGAATATGTATTAAGAACGTATTTTAACTTATTTATAGCTGACCCTCCACCAGGTTTTCAGGTGCTGTAAATCACATGGGAGGAGATTGCCCATTTTTTCCTACATAGCTTCTGATAGATTTGAACCACTTGCCATTGGGTTGGCAGTACAATTTTTTACCCACTAGTCCACCAGAGAGCGCACACACACGCACACTCACACACACACACGCACACATTTCAGGACTTATTTCTTTGTTTTTTTGCCTGGATTTACTTATTTTACAAACCCCCAAAAGCAAACATACTGCCATTGAATTGGTTCCAATTCATAGTAAACTTCCATCAGGCTTTCAAGACTAGATAGCATAACCAGAGGTGGTTGTGAGTTCGGGAGCTGAAAATGACTCTTTGCTGACCCTATAGCACGTTTTCAGAGGCAATAAATCACACAAGAGGAAATTACCTCTCTTTCTTTCATAGAGCAGCTGGTGGATTTGAACCATGTGCTTTTGGGTTGGTAATACAGCTCTTTACCCTTGAGCTTCCTGCACTCCCTGACACTACTATTTGATTTGAACAACAGGAGGTACAGGACTTGGGATACCAGTACAGTTTGCTATGAGCTACAGCCACCCAGGCTTCCTTGTTATCTCCTATAGCATTCTCCAAAACAAACAAATAAACAAGCAAAAAATCAAAATCACATTACCATTGAGTCAATTTGAACTCAGCAATTCTCTAGATTTCAGAATATATAAATCTTAACAGAAGGATACTTCCCATCTTTCCCTGGTGAACTAGCTGGTGGATTTGAACCATTAACCTTTCTATTAGCAGCCCAACACATAACCCATTATCCCACTAGGGCATCAATGGTGCCCAATACTTTGCCAGTAGCTTACCAGACAACAAGAAAAGCTAATGACTAAATAAATACACTAATGGTTGAAAGAAAGAATGAACAAATATTAAAATAAAGAAGAAGTTATGATTACAGCAAAAATGAAATCAGGCAATGGTAGTGCTAGACTGCAAATGAACTTCTTCAAATATAGGTAACTTTTAGGACAAAGTACAAGAAAATGAAACGAGAATGTTTTAATAACTATTCTCAGGATAGAAAAATAAAAAACCCTCAAATTTTGCAAAATCACCATTTTTATGACTAATAGTCAATTTTAAGTGGCTTAGGTAACAAAATAATGCAGAAAATAGGAAAACAAAGATATTACCAGGCTTCATAAGTATAAAACAGTCCTTTTGAATATGACTAATATGTTTATATCTTAAAGTAAGAATGAAAAAAACTAAACATTTTCTGGAAATCTATTATATGCTAGATACATGAATATTTTTATATAGATTATTTGTCACTTGGTCCTCATAGTAGCTCTAGAATTTGGTATTATTACATGCAAATAAGATATCAGAGAGTTGGAGATGTAAATAACAACTTTAAGAACATAATTCAGAAACTCAAAGTCATTACCATCAAGTTAATTCCTATTCATGGTGAGTGTCCCTCAGTTTTTGAGGCTGTAAACTGGTGGAAGGGGACTGCCCTTTTTTCTCCAGTGAATCCTTGGGGTATTCAGACTGCTGGAGACACTTGATCTTTTGCCTAGTGGTGCAACATTCTGTGGACTACACTCACTACTGGAGCTCCTTGAGGGCATAATTAGTGGGGATTAACATATATCTTTATCTAATAGGATTAACATATATCTTAATCTAAAATGTGCAGTACACCACGTGCAAAATTGCCAATATCCAGTGGTTTGAAAGCAAAAGTTGATATCATGTTTTGTTTTTCACCACCTTTTCCTTTTCACAGCTAGCAACTAATCAGACTGCCCAATCTATCTTTTGAAAATATCTCCCTAACATACTTGCTTTTTTTCTTAAAAATTCTCTGCCTGGTTCAGATTCCATAGTCTTTCCTGTAGACATAAATTTATCAAAACCTCTGTAATTTATTAATAAAGGTGGGTGACTCTGATCTGCGGCCCTCAGGCCTGTTTTTCCTTGTTTTTGGTCAAACATCCTTCTATGTCATACAGCCCTTGTACAAGCTGTACAGAGGTGACTTGTGGTTGCTGTGAAGCTGAACACTGTGACACTGACGTGTCAAATGCATTAATGGTTATCCATGGTGGACAGTGTTTGGTGGAACTCCTTGATTAAAACAAGCTTGGAAGCAGGAGTGGCATCCACTTCTATAAATAACTTCCAGAAACCCTACAAACCTGGAGAAAGGATGAAAGTCACACAAGTGTCGAGGACTTTCGTTTATAGGGTTTCTATGAGTTGCCTACAACTTGACGGTACTTAACCACAACAACATGTGAATAGCACAACTAGTTGAGTAACTCTACTGCTTAAAACATTGTTGTTGTGTTGTTATGTGCCATCGAGTCGTTTGCGACATTATCATCTTATTATTATCAGGCTTAAGTTTTAAATCTTTGACAAGGCCTTGTAAAATGTCTATAAACATCCTTGAGTTGCTTTGTGTAATCTCATGCTGATTTCCATATTATTTATACACTCCTTTTCTGTTAAGTACTTTCCTCATTTATTTCCTTTTTCTATGACATACCCCTTCCTGGAAGTGAACCTGTTCTTTCTCTCACATTCCCTATTTTGTTGTTGTTCTACTTGATTCTGGGTTCTTAGCTTAAAAACAGCTTCCTCTAAGTTTCTCTTGTCCTTCAGCTCTTAATTTATCACTCTCGCTATATGCATCTGAGAATTCTATGGCCTAGTGGATAAGGAACTTTATTGCCAATCCAAAGTCACGCCATTTGTGTATAACAGCTGCTCTACAAGGGAAAGTTGGGCAATATCCTCCATACAATTTATAGTCTCTGAAAAGCTGTGGGAGGGCCAGCTAGGAGTAGTTCTGACTTAATGGCATATAAAACCAACATATGATCCTACAACAGTTCACACTTCTGTTTTATAGTATTGGTTTTTAAGAACTTAGACCTCTGAAAGCAAGTTAATGGCTTACTTTGTTTCTTAATTCCCAGAGTCAGCATGGTGGTTGATGAGTGACAAAGTCTGTATATATATTGATTCCCATTGTCCTTTATTGAAAATGTAACACATATTAATAAAAAGAAGTTCCTCAAGTGAACAATATATCTCTCATTAACATTTGACTACTATTTTATTGCAAGTAAAATCATTCTTAGAGAATGTAATCAGATTCTTTGGTTTGGCAGGGTACGAGGTGTATGACCAGCTGCTCTGAGGCCATGCTCATTATGTTGTGTCAGTCTCATAAGAATATGTCTCTATTTAACAGTGGCAATACGAAACTCTCAGAGGGCTATTAAATTAGTTTTGTTTCTTTTTAAATTATTGTTAATTTTCTTTGCAAACCATTAATAAAGAAGTATTATCATTATCATTAGCCATCATAGAAATGACTACAACTCACAACAATCCTATAAACAACAGATTGGAACCATTCTGTATCCTATGCTATCTTCATGCCCTCTACCATGTTCAAGCCCATTGTATGCTCAAATGTTATGCCATGTATTTAGCAAATACTATGGAGGAAGATAAGCAAAGTCACTGACAAAAACTGGACTGTTCTACTTTAGTTCAATTGAGACCCACGTGTAATTAGAATACGTGCATTCATACATTGCTCAAAAGTATAAAGTGACTGAGAGCTTCAATTTATACCTAGGAAATTGTGAGAGGTCAATAACAATAAGTGCTATAAAAACATAATTGCATTATTGTAAATTATATCAAGAAAGAATACTTTTTTCTGTTTCATCACATCCATATTAATAAATAATTGCAATATTATATTGATTGAGTTGAGTTGTCAGCCATCTTGAAAACAATGGGATATAAAGGATTTTATTATCATTTGTGTGTGTACTAACAACATTTCTTTTTATTTTTTTTTTTGGTTAGGTACATGTCACTGTGGCAGGTGTAAGTGTGATAATTTAGACGGAAATGGACTTGTTTATGGTAAATTTTGTGAATGTGATGACAGAGAATGCATTGATGATGAAACTGAAGAAATATGTGGCGGTATGTATATTTACTTCTTAGAAATTTATAGAACCACCTATTCAATTTTTTTATTTGTTCAAGTTTATTTTTGTTTCTACATAAATTTCTGCATAAAAGTCTGCTGTTAGTGACCTCTCCAAAGTACTGAAGAGCAATGGTGCCTCTCTGGAGACCAAGGTGCACCTGATCCAGGCCATGGTCTTTGCTATCACTTGTTATGCATCAGAGAGTTGGACAGTGACTAAGGAGGGTAGAAGGAGAATTTATGCCTTTGAGCTGTGGTGCTAGAGAAGAGTATTGAGGGCACAATGGACTGCTAGGAAAACAAACAGATTCATCCTGGAAAGGGTTAAGCCAGGAGGCTCCCTGGAGGCAAGGAGGGGAAGGCCCTCTATGAGGTGGATTGATTTAGTGACTGGAGTAATTGAGATGGGTATGTCAGAGACAGTGTGATTGGCACAGGACAGAGCAGAGTTTAGGGCTGTTGTGCATAGGGTCGCTATGAGTCACAAGCGACTTGACAGCACATAACAACAACAACATAAATTTCTGCCCTGAGAACAGAAAGTTAGTCTGAATCTACAGTCAGTTTTTTAAATTTATTTTAAACACTCATTATCAGAAATTAAATAAGGGTATTCAGAGGACATGGTACTTTTTACATGAAAAACCAGATTGTCCGCAGAACAGAATCTAGTAAAAATGACAGTAGGCCAGCTTCACAGGGTTGAAGTATTCTTAGTGATCCTTGATACTTCTTTCTCATTTTATTTTGTTTCTTTTCTTGTTCTCTTTAAGTTCTAAGATTCAACTTCATTTTCTTTTTTATTTCTAAAGCATAAACTTTAAATCACAGTCATATTTCCTATGGGAATGTTCATGTTCAACAGGACTGCTAGTCTAGAACTTAGCCTCATACATCAATAAAATTTTAATGACCTTTTCTGTGTACCTTAATTCCTTAAGTTTTTTTTTAATTGTAGCAGTTATTATACACTTGTTAGAATAAAGTATTGTAATTCATCTTTTACCTTCATTGTTCTAAATGTCACTAAATCACTCTCGGGCAAGAAGTCTTTTTATAGACACAGACAGAAGTGGAAACTGGCACTTGAATAATGCAGATAACATAGCAAGGGTCATTTAACTAGTTATGAGTGAAGCTAATATTTGGCTATATTTGTCTTACTACAAATACATTCAGAACCCCCACCATAAAGAAGGACATTGCTACCTGGGAGTTTATGGAGCTCCCGTGAGAAGAGCAGACCTCGTTCTTTTTATCATCTCTTGATTTCATCTCTTTATTTGCCTAGCTATAAGCCTGACCAAAGAGTTCAATGTGTTGCCTGGGCTGGAAGACAGAATGGATATAGAGAGTGATGGCAATCATTTGAATTATTTAGATAAATTCTTTCCTGCTATTTTTTAACATATCAGCCTAGTTACTAACAATCTCACCTCTCTGCCAGTTAGCAATAGCTTGTTTCTTTCATCACTGACCGAATTCCATTGACTCCTATCTTGTTTGTGAAATGGGCGATTTCAGATATTCGTCCTGGAAGGTTTTGAAAACAAATGGGACCAGGGGAACCTCAGGGACTTACAGCAAGTGTCATTAACATAAGACAAGTTTATCTCTGTTTGCATTTCCATGAAGTTAATCACCTACACAGTCTTCTTTCAGATTTTTACTTTTTCTTTCTTGCATACACTATCAGTAACAAACACAGAAAACTCAAGCTCAGAGACAGTGCTCTAAAAGGTTTCAGTCCAACATAATTAGAATCATTAGATAAATTCATCCACTGATTCTTATTAAAATATCAGAGGTCAAAAAGAGGGAAGCAAAAATGGTCTGCAGAAAATGTATCCTGACTCATACAACCAAACCAAAGGCTATTTGCAGGTGCAACTCGAAACATTTCACTTGAACAACATAACAGGAAATGTTTAGCTCTCAACCTTTCCACTTGTCATTTCCATTTGTTAGAGACTTAAGCCATTTCATGGTGCAAAGTCTCTGGCAGCTTGCACCAGCACTCCAGTAAACATCCTCGGGAGCTGACATTGTCTGTGACTAGGGATCTTTACACTTGTAATTAACATGAAACAAATTTGTTGAGAGATTGTTCATCAGCTCATCAGTGAAGCAAAGCCAAAGGGATTTTCTCACTATGCTAATTGACCCTATGCAAAGCATTGTGTTTGTTTTGGAACATATGTACTGTCCTTGAGTTTATATTTTGTTTCAATTATCCAAATGTCTTGATACAACATACTTATGAGTTAATGACTATTTGTTTAACTTTCAAATCTTCAGGTAAGTATAGTGCCCTCTTATTTTTGTTTCCTTACCTATCTTTGTCTATGTTGTTTCCTGGTAACACCCAAATTTAATAATTGGACAATAATGGATGTGATGAACATTGACTTATATTAATCTGTACATGTCATTGTAATTAGTGTGTAGGTTGCATCTTAGACAGGAAACTCCTGGAATGACAGAGGAACTGCATTCTGCAATTGAAGAAGGTGGTCTAGTCCTACAAACTCCAACTCCTAAGGAAAACCTTTACTATATTGCTATGTTGGGGTATTCTTCTAGTGCAATCACTGAGTTCCTGAGACTTTTAGTATAATACTGAAATGTGATTTTTGTTATAAATGCATGTAGAAATATTACTAAATAGGTTTGTAAATAATATGCAAAACCCCCAGGTAGTCAAAACAGTTAATCACTCCACCACAACTCTTCAAAGACAAGTCTAGTAAGTTGCTTTCAAAAGATCATGAAAACCTCATGCAGCAGTTCTGATCTGCACACATGGCATCACCATGAGATAGAATCAAATCACCAGCAAAAACAATACCAGGTTATCTGCATAGGTGGAGGGTTGATGGGATGTTTTGTTTTTTGGGGTGTGTGTGTGTGTGTGTGTGTGTGTGTGTATTAGTGAAATGATTTGTTTACGTGAGTGAATTAAAGTTTGTGGTAGCAATACATTGTCTCTAAGATTAAGGAGAAATCTTCTGTGGATATGATTATTATTATTTAAACAGAACACCTACCTACTTTGTGCCTCTTTCTCTGCATCTCACTATAAAGCTGTTTTCAATTCATCACATTCTATCTTTGGTGTGTATTTGCTTGAGATAAATCTCATCTGATAGATGAGAATAGCATAGAATCCCAGAATATTCTGTTGTGTTACGCATCTCTCCTCTGAGAATCCTATGAACAGTCTCACCACCAACCAGATATAGCATAGGGGAAAGGTAAAACAATGGTCTTGCTTTGTTTCCTATGGTATGTCTAGAGTTATGGTTGTAAGAGAAAGAACTAGACTTCAGTTACAAACTTGTGTGAAACACATAGACCAAAACCAAAATCCATGGTAATACTGGTTTTATCATGTTGTTTTTATGGATACATACAACTGAGTCAGAGCCAACTCATAGCTCACCCTCCAGCTGTTTGGGTTGTTTGGTTTTTTTTTTCAGAGGATGTAAATCACATGAAAGGAGATAGCTCATCTTTCTCCAGTGGAGCTGCTGATGGATTTGAACCATTTGCCTTTGATTTGACAATGTAGCTCCTTTTCCAGGTCACCAGAGTTCCCTGGTTTTCTTCATATTTACATATAGTAAAATAAAATGCATTCAGGACAGAGTACTGTAAGTGCAAACAGAACAAAGGCTGGATGAGAAGTAAAACTTTGAGGCACACGTAATTGTTTTTTTTTTAATTGCTAGATATGAATGTGGGTAGCGATGAATTGTCAACTCTTTATAGATCACCTGGATCAAAACATAAGAACATGGTAGCAGCTTTGACATAGATGGGTGCTGATAGACTGGTAATAACTGGGCACAAATGACTGGGATATTGTAAACTGTCACTGTAATACACAATTAAGGATGAGAATTTTATTTTATTGTGAGGTTGAATTTTTGTTGTGTTTTATCCCTCAAAATTAGGAGAAAACATTAATTTGTCTGAAAATAGATTTCCATGTGGTAGAACAACAGCTTGTAGGACACAGTTGAATAAAAAAAGTATTTCTTTCAGTTTAAAAATGTTCAGTCATTAATAATGTGCTTTTGAGTAAATATGCACCATTGGCTTCTCAATAGTTAATTTTGAACAAAATTTAGTAACTAATCCAAGAAATGTTCTTAGAATAAATGCTTATGTCCACTTGAGTTTATGGCACGTATTTGATAATATACTTAAAGTAATAAATATACTTTTGTAGTCTTTCAAGTAATTTGTTTTTGCAAATCTTACTTTAATCAGTTAATAACTAGGAAAAGTTAAAGGAACATTTTAGTTTGTTTTATTTGCATGGTTAGATATATAGGGACCCAACTGTGGGTTTTGGAAAGCAAATCATCTAATTTAATTATTTTAAGCAAGAAATGTAGAACAGTGATATTATTTCTAAAGGCAAAAATGTTCAAAAAGAGGTAGAAAGTTAATTCTGTCTTTAAAAGTTGCTTTTTTTCATCCCTGTGTAAAATTCATTTTGGGTAAAGGCCATGGAAAGTGTTACTGTGGAAACTGTTACTGTGAGGCTGGTTGGCATGGAGATAAATGCGAATTCCAGTGCGACATCACCCCCTGGGAGAGCAAGCGAAGATGCACATCTCCAGATGGCAAAATCTGCAGTAACCGAGGTGTGTCATTCATACACGTTACTATGTAATTGGGAGGAAAACAAAGTTCTTAATTGTTAATGCTTCTCTTCTCTTTTCTCAGTATTGCCTTTCTTGTGAGAAGTCATCATTTAAAGTTGTTTACTTGATTGTAAATCAACATTTACTATAAAAAACAATTTTGTTTCTTGTGTTTTTCTTGAGTGGATACAAAGATAAAAAAAGTTAGTGTCATTATTTTAGCTTCACTGAACAAATAGTTAACATAGGGACCATAATTTCTTTGGCTGGCATCCAGAAATAGCACAGTACAGCTAAAAGGCAATTCTTGTAGATACTTCTGTTAAATGTCTCTTGACTAACAGAACCATCTACAGCGTGAGCATCTAATTATCCAGAGAGCATTCAGAAAACTCTCTTGTCTTAATTATGGGTAAATTGAAGGCTTGGCTGAAATACAAAATTGATGTAGACACATTTAATTACTAAATGCAATGATTAAAATGTAATATTGAACAGACTTAATGTAAAGACCAAATTTTAAATTTACTGTTTTTACCTACAAAGAAGTTAGCACATAGATGTTGTTGTTATGTGTCATTGAGTTGCTGGCAATTTATAGCGACCCTATGTAGAACAGCCCTAAACCCTGCTCTAGCGCTTGCCACTCTCACTGTCTGCAACATGCCTAGTATCCCCATTACCCCAAGGATGAAATCTCATCCAGGAGCTTCTTCTGTTCTGTCCCTCAACCCTCCCAAGCATGATGGCCCTCTCCAAGGACTGATCCACATTGCAACATGTCCAAAGTATGTCAGATGAAACTTCAGAGTCCTTGCCTCTAAGGACCAGCCTGGATTCACCCTCTCCAGGATAAAATTGTTTGTTCTCCTAGCAGTCCATGGTATGTATATTCAATACTCTTCTCCAGCACCAAAGCTCAAAGACATCAACTCTCCTTCTGTCATCCCTAGTCATTGTCCAACTCTCTGAAGCATAGCAAGTAATGGAAAAGACATGGCCTGTATCAGATCTACCTTAGTCTCCAGACTGACATCATTGTTCCTCAGTACTTTGGAGAAGTCTCTGACAGCAGACTTTCCCAGTGCAATTCATCTTTTAATTTCCTAGCTGCTGGTACCAAGAGTGTTGGTAGATCTATGAAATTTAAATTGAGCTCATACATATATTAATAAAAATTATACTTACATTACTAAATATTATTTCTAGCAAGTTTACTAATTTTTTATGTCAAATTACACAGCTTCAAACACTTTTTAAAAAAAAATTCTGAAAATAATTATGTACCTTCCTTTACACTAGATTTTTCATTGCCTACTTGATGATATATACTTTGGGTCATATGTTATATAAAATGATAAAATATAGATACATGTAAATCAATCAGAATTGACTCAACAGCACATAATATAAATTAAAAAAGTTTTGTTTTCATGAATGATGTGCACATCGTGAGGCTTAACACACAACAGGTTCTATCCTTTGTTAAATAAATCTAGAAGAGGAAATATATGCCACATTTATGACCTCATGTATAGAAAGACACAAAGTCTAAAGTTGAAGGAACAACAAATTTAATTTATGGAACATAGATCTAACCGTATGTCATAATAATTCACTCTTCCCAAGTGATCTGCAGCCTCTGAAAACCTGCTGGAAGGTCAGCTATGACTCAGTTCTGATTTGATGGTAATAAGTTGAGGTTTATAAAGACTAATGTTCTTATAATATGACCAAATTTGCCATTATGATGTCAGGGCCTGAAGCTTTAACCGTATTACTGTGCAAAATAATCATTTATGTCCTGTTGAAAAGAGAGAGGAGTGAAATGGAATTGATTGGAGTATGGATTAAAGATGGACCCTGCAGCAGACATACGCAAGCTCTGAGAGAAGAGATGCTTTGGAAAATCACAGACTGCATCACCCCACCCCTTCCTTATGCCTGAGGCTTTCTACGCTGGAAGTCTGGCCAAGGCAGGTGGGAAGCAGCATGCCTAAATGAAGCTCATAGTTAGTGAGATTGTTATTGTTGTGTGCCTTCAAGTGGACTATGACTCATAGTTGCCTTATAAACAACAGCTCAAAACCTTGCTGAATTCTGCCTCATCCTCAAGATCTCCACTGTACTCAAGTTTATGAGTACATAAAAGGGGACTGGTGTGGAAATGATTTCTTTTTCTCCAAAGACCAGTGTCTAGGCTAAAACTCTTTCCTTACCATTGTTTCCCTAAGTAAAAGAGAAACACTAGTTCTGGGCATACCTATATTGTCTTCTTTTTTAGCCACCTTTAGTGACCAGAAGAACTCAACTGATGATAGAGTTTTCTCTATTGTCCACATGATTTAAACAATTTGCCATTGTACTCATTATGCATATGCCTTAAAAACTGATCAAAACAGCATGACTGATAGATCTCTCACTCTCTATTTCCTTGTATTTATATTATTATAAAAGCAACAATTATTACTCACTCACTTATTGCTGTTGAATGAGACTAACCCATAGCTGACCCTCCAGTGAGTTTTCAGAAGTTGAAAATCACTCAGGAGGAGATTTTCTATCTTTTTCTCTGAGAAGTTGATGGATTTGAACCACTTGCCCTTAATTTGGAAGAACTATAAGCCATAAGAGTTCTCTGTAAGCAAAAATATCCATTTAAAAAAAATCCAGCTCATAATGAATGAAGAACAAAAAGTTAATGGTCCATAATCCTCCCATGCAGATATAAGTTGTTTTACATTTTACTGTATGACTTCTCCATTAATTTCTTTATTCTTTATAAAATTCACTTGTGCCCTCCATACACATATGTTCTTTTCTTAAGTACAAAGTAAATCATAATATGCATGCTCATTTATTTGAGTTTCACTTAGTAATATATTTTTTGGTATTGCTCCGTGTTCTCTAAAGTTAAAAGGAATTAGTACTTTTAAAGACTTCTTAGAAGACCCTACCACACACAGATCAGTAATTCTCTACTGACAGATTAATTTTAGTGTTTCCCAAATATTACTGCATTTATATCTCAATGTCAAGAAAACAAAAATCCTTGCAACTGGACTAATAGGCAACATCATAATAGATGGATGGAAAAGAGATTGAATCTGTCAATGACTTAATCTTCCTTGGATCCACAATCAATGCACTTGGTATCAGCAGCCAAGAGATCAGGAGACATACTGTACTGGAAAGTCTGTAGTCAAAGACCCTCTAAATTATTAAAGAGCAGTGATATTAGTTTGAGGACTCAAGTGTGCCTGGCTCAGGCCAAGATCTTTTCAATCACATGCTATGCTGCTGAGAGCCAGACAGCAAATAAGGATGACAAGTGAAGAATTGACACTTCTGAACTGTGGTATTGAAGAATACTGACTATCCCATGGACTGCCAAAAGGACAAACACATATGTCTTGGATAAGGTGCAGCCAAAATGCTTCTTGGAGGCAAAGATGACAAAGCTTCGTCTCACATACCCTGAGCATGTTGTTATAAGAAGTTAGTCCTTAGAGAGAAAAGTGGGACAGCAAAGAAGAGGAAGATCTTCAACCAGGTAGATTGATGTAGTAATTGCAGCAATGGCTTGTGTGTGTGTGTGAGATTGTGAGGATGATATAGAATAGGGCAGGGTTAAGATTTGTTGTTCAGGCGAGCTCTGGTGGCCTAGTCAAATCCACCAGATGCTCTGCTGAAGAAGGAGGAACAGTCGCCTCCTGTCCCTGTCAGATCCAATTTGATGGTACACACATTAAAAAAAAATATAAATAAATAAATAAATAAATTTTTTAAAAAAAAAGGATTTGTTGTTCATAGGGTCACTATGAGTGTCACTCAACTAGAAAACACCTAACAACAACTACATTTAAATTCCTGAATGTGCAAATATGTGGACTTTTACTTAAACTTAATGATTGAAGTACTATGTGAAATAATACAGTAATTTTTAAATGTACATCCTGTGAAATTCTGCCCTGTGAAAGTTGTATCAGTTTATCTTTTATTTATAGTACAGGAGACCACCCATCCTTTCACACTCTCACTCACTCTGGACACTAACCAGTTTGTTTGGTTTTTTGTTTCTTAACCTCAACCAAATCACTCTAACTCAATGTTGTTTTAATGATTTTCCTTTATTCTTTCCTCATACTCAGTTCCATGGTAGACACATTTCATGGCTATTTATAATCATTATGTTTTTGTAGAATTACCCACTACTGTTTTATTTGCTTTTATCTATTTGGAAATTTCTGTTTATTTATTTGTTGCAAGCATGTTGTACATCTTTATGAAGGTGTTTTTTGCTTTTTACATATATATAAACTCTATGACCAAGTTTTTGTTTTAATTGTTCATAACATTTTCTCCCAGTTAAGCATTTACACCTTTGTACTTTTCATTTAGTGATTCTACATGTTAATTTTCAATTAAAAGACATTTCTTTCTTATTTTTATAGATATATTTATGAATTTTTTGGAAACAGAAGTGGCATCTACTTCCTAAACAATATGCCTTTGGAAATTCTATTAACTTTGATAAATGTCCATAGTTGTAGAGGGGCTTCAGGCCTTTTGTTCATAGGGTCGCTACGAGTTGTGTTCAACTTGAAGGCAATCAACAACAACAACAACAATTTAAGCTCTTAGATCTTTAACGGAAATTGGTTTTCATATAAAAGACAAGAGATTTAACTTTATTTCTCCCCCATAATAATTAGTTGTAGACTTGTGTGCTGTTGAGTTGGAACTAAATCATAGCTGACCCTACTGGGTTTTTGTTGTTTTTGTTTGTTACTGTCAAGTCAGAATCAACCCATAACTGATCCTCCAGTGGCTTTTCGGAGACAGTAAATGATACAGGATGACAACATATTGTGGCCAACATTGAGAAGAGTGAGAATTGCAGACCTCTTAATTGTGCTCATGTGTAACCTACACCTAGACCAAGAGGCTGTTGTATGAAAAAGCAAAGGAACACTGTTGTTGTGGTGGTTATGTGCCATCGAGTTGCCTGCAACTCATAGTGACCCTATGTATAACAGATCTGAAGTCAGCCCTGTCCTGAGTCAGTCTCATTCACACGCCTACCCCAATTACACCAGTAACTGTGTCAATCTATCTCATTTGGTGTCTTCCACTCCTGTGCTGTCCCTCAGTCATTCTTATGATGTCCTTCTCCAAGGACCAATTCCTGCTGGCCAAGTGCCCAAAGGATGAGAGACATAGCTTCAAAATCCTAGCCACCAAGAAGAAACTTGGTTTCATCCTCTCCAACGCAGAACTGTTTGTTTTCTTGGCAGTATGTTCAAGACTTCTACAGCACCACAACCCAAAAGCATTGCTTCTTCTTCTGTCTTCCTTAGTTATTGTCCAGCTCTCTGATGCCACATTCCTCTTAATAAAGCCCAGCCTCCTGAGTTATCTGTTCCTCATACATATTCCTGACATACTCCTTTCCTGATACTGAACCTTGAAATTTTTCTTTTCTATGTTCTGAGGACTGCTTCCTCGTCTGAGTATAGGTTTCACATGAGCACTATCAACTGTTCCACGATTCCCATTCTCCTCAAGGTCAGCCACAATTTGTTGTGATACACATGCCTTTGCAAAGTCAATGAAACACAGATAGAAATTTCTCTGGTACTCTGCTTTTGGCCAAGATCCATCTGACATTGGTGATAATGTTTCTAGTGCCACGACAATGTTCAAAGGATGTTCATGTTCATATAATGTTCAAAGGAACACTACGTGGTTTAAAATTAAGGAAGATGTGCATCAGGGTTATATCCTTTCTCATCTTACTTGATGTGTATGCTGAGCAAATTATTCAAGAAGCTAGATAAAGATGAATGTGACATTTGACTGGAGGTAGACTCATCGATAACCTTTGTTATGCAGATGGCACAAACTTGCTTGCTTACTGGGCAAACTTGCATAGTTTGGAGGACTTGAAGAACTTGACGCACAAGATCAAAGTCTGTAGCTTTCAGTAATGATAGCATTTCAACATCAAGAAAACAAAAGTTCTTGCCAGTGGGTGAAGAGACTGAAATTATCAGGGTATTCATTTTACTTGGAATCACAATCAATACACTTGGTGACAGCAATCAGGAGATCAGGAGACATGTTGCACTGAGAAAGTCTGTAGGGAGAGACCTCGCCAGTGGAGCAAGAATGTTAGTTTGAGGACTAAGGTGTCCCTAATTAATGCCAAAGTCTATTCAATCACTTGCTATGCTTCTAAGACCTGGACAATAATAAAGGGTGACAGAATAAGAATTGATGCTTTTCAAGTGTGATGTTGGAGTACTGAATATTCTGTGAACTACTAAAAGAATAAATGTGTCTTGGGTAAGTTACAGCCAAAGTACTCTTTGGACAAAGATGAAAAAACGTTATCTCACATACACTGGGCGTGTTGCTAGGAGAAGCTATTGTTTGGAAGGATATCGTGGCTAGGAAGGTGGAAAAGCAGCCAAAGGGAGAAAGATCCTAAACTAAGTGGATTGACATAGTGACTGCAGCAATGAGCTCAAGTGTGTCAGAGATTGTGAGGATGGCTCAGGATAAGACAGAGTTTAGATCTGCTGTTCATATTGTTGTTTTGAGCCATATTCTACTTGATGGCAACAAATTGCACAAGAGGAAATTATCCAAACTTCTTCCACAGAGCAGCTAGTGGGTTCAAATAGTGTGCCTTTGGGATTACAGCACAGCTTTGTACTAGATTGCTGGAGCTCTTTATTCTAAAGAAAATTACTGATAACCCACCAAAAGTAAATACAAATGGTAACTGGAGATTTCTATTCTCACTTCTCCAAATGACCAAGTTTATATCTCAGTCTGGACTCCAAGTCTCCCATGATCTTAGCTTATCGGATCTGGCAAATTTTGTTTGTAATTCTTTCTTAGTCTTTTTGCTCCAATAATACACCACTTCTCAGTGTCTCCATGGCTCCACTTCTCTCACTTTGTGCTTATTGCTTTCCTGTTTTTCCTCGAGTCATTCACCTCTCCTAGAACATTTTTTCTCACCTCTTAGAACATCTAGGCTATTTACCCTGAGGTACGACAGCCCACACTTAGCTTTCTTTCTTAAACACCCATAGTATTTATACCCTTGTTTACAAAATTATATTAATATTATTGTTTGGTCATTTTAATTAATATTATTGTTCACTAATTTTTGTCCATTAGCTTTGTTTTCACACTATGAGCTTTCTACAGGGCAAAGATTCTATCTTGTATTAACTGACACATCCCACTCTTACATAATTATAGAAAAATAGAATAATTTTGTTTATTTATTCATGAATCTCTACAATATGCTTTAGATCAAATTTTTCCTGCAAAGAGTATTTTTATTTGAACATATGCATTTTATAAAAACAAATTAAGTAAAGGAACAGTAATAAGAAATATTGGAAATATTTTCGATGGTTTTTCTTGACTACGGGCTTGTAAAACGTTTTCTTCCCCTTAGGGACCTGTGTGTGTGGCGAATGTTCTTGCCATGATGTTGACCCTACTGGGGACTGGGGAGATATTCATGGGGACACCTGTGAGTGTGATGAGAGGGACTGTCGAGCTGTTTATGACAGATATTCTGATGACTTCTGTTCAGGTAAGTCCTGTTCCAGTTCCTAAATTAAGACTATTCCTTTCACTATTTAAATACTGATTAAGATTATCACAGAAACTATAGGAAGAAGTAAGTGCATTCTGAATCATTATATATTTGCTGTTGGGTGCTCAGTTGGTTAAATGATAAGGAGTTGCACCAAATACAGGTGATTCAAGTTCACCAGCTGTTCTATGGGAGAAAGATGGGAAATCTTGTCTTATGATATGATTTCCAGCCTCTGAAAAGCCACTGGAGGGTTAGCTATAAGTCCTTCTGACTCAAGAGCATGTAATAACAACAACAGATTCCTACTAAAGATCTTTGGTTATGTAATGTGTTAAAGGTTGGCAGTTCAAATCCACTGACTCCTTCTTAAAGGAAAATTGACAGTCTCCTTCCATAAAGTTTCAGAGTTTTGAAAACTGACGGAAAGTTACCATGTGTCAAAATAGAATAACAAGATTGATATTTTTGTTCGTTCACTTTTGCATTATACTTCTACAACTAATTTGGGGAACCACTGGTGACTTCATTTATTTGGAAAAAATTAGATGTGAAAGTATGCCCACTATTTTAAAATTAGTTTAATTTTTCAGGAAGGAACAACCCAGTTCTGTTGAGTCTATTCCTGGAACCAAGACCTCCTGGTATCTACTCCTCCGACAAAAAACTAGTAGGCTTGATGACAACAAATAAGATTATCACTGCTATGGCATCTGTATTTCTAAATTGCAAAATTACAGATTATGTAATTCTCTGGGATACTTATATGTTACAATACTTTGATGAGACCAGTGTTGATAATTTACTGGTAAAATTCTTGTCTTCAAGTTGAAAGATGTGGTTTCAGTTCTTCACAATGCATCCCAACTGTGGCCCCCACCCAACACTGAGTGGAGCCTGATAGGATTTAAAACCTTTGACAACCGACTGGAGGGTCAGCTATGATTTGTTTCCAACTTGACAACAAGTATGATTTGTGCATATAATTATTAATTTATTAATATTATATTCCAAATAGTTTGTTGTTGTTCTTGTTGTTAAGTGTCGTCAAGTCTTAGACAACTCATAGTGACCCAAAGAACGAAAGACCTGAACACTTGTATAAATTTCATTGTTTCTCCAAGTTCTTAGAGTTTGTGGAGGCAAGCTATTTCAGAAGTGGATGCCGCTCCTGCTTCCAAGCTTGTTTTAATCAGGGAGCTAGCAACACCAAACACTGTTTGCCAGAGTATCAAATACTGGAGCCATTATTTAAGAAGACACACATATTTTTACTTTCTAGAACTCACATTCTGAAAGCAAATAAGTAAATAAATAAATACATCCTACAAGAATTTCTAATGGTTAGAATGTACAACAGGCAGATTAATCTGCAAAAGCATCATTTAGTCAAAATGGAGATATGGATTTTCAATCCATTTATATTTTGCAATCTAGATGTCCAAGATATATGCATATCCTTTCATTAAGTTTGGCTCTCCTTCACTGACATGTGCACAGACAGGATACTCCATTCATCCCCTGAAAGTTCACCAGTAAAGGGACTTAAGAGATTTCATAATAACCCCACAGCTTCAGCAGCTTCTCTAGCCCAGCCAAGGGGAAGTTGCTTCTAAAACTTCACTTCAGAAGGTTTCCCTCTCTAATTAGCCCTCACACTTGGGAGGATTCGCTGAACATTTTATGGGAATCCTCTTTTCAGAATTTTCTGCTATTTATTATAGTTTTTGAGTGTTCTTCATTACCATCATTATCAACACAAGGATAATAAAACCTTTGAAGTAGGAAGTATATTTCCTCTCATTTTACACTTGGGGATATTGAAACTCAATGAAATTATGTAAGCTGCCCATGGTCCCAGAACTAACGCGTAGAATCAAAACATTCTCAAAGTCTATTACTCTAAAAAAATTGAAAGTTTATTTTTTTATTGGATAAATGTCTCTTTAAAGGGTAAGACACCAAACATTTATGGTATGGAAAACTAACTCTGCCAGAGGCATCTTGTGAAACACCAGGATTTAAAAACATGAAAAATTAGAGATTCTTTTCTCAAGAGATTACTATTGAAGAAAGAAAAGTGCTACATAAACAGACAATTTTAATTAGGAGATTTGCATATGCATGTATTTATTTATTTCTATTGAGAAACTGAAAGACTAAAAATGAACAAAACAAAACTCGTTCGTGGAGTTTATATTCTTGTGGTACAGGAGAACCAATAATTAAAATATAAGTATATATACATATTTGTTTTTGTTATGTGCCGTCGAGTCGTTTCCGACTCATAGCGACCCTATGCACAACAG